TTTGACCTTTTTCAGAACAAATGCATTTGTATGCTAGCAAAAAAGATGTCATTCTGTAGACTAATGTTATTTGATTCAAAATGATGATGAAAATATTATTACTAGACTCATACGCTTGTAAACAACAACAGTTTGTTCATGGGTTAACAAGAGATTTCAAATTAGATTTATTCCCTATGAGTCAAAGCAATGGCCCTGACATATGCTGATCGCATTAATTCAAGTTGTAAATGCTAAAGATCAGTGTTATGACATTAGCACAATTAGATTACTCCATATTCATCTCTCAAATGTTCAACAAATATAATTTATCTCCTATGAATCTGTGAAGTAACGCTCCGCCAAACAAGTCTTGATGCAAAAGAGACACAAAGAGACAGAAAAGACATCAGGAGGTCTCGTCCAGACTGACTGTGGACGTCCGCCAGGTTTCTCTCCAGAGATTGTGCCCTCTGAGTGTTTTTTATATGTCAACGTCACAAGACAAATAGCGACAGGGAGTATCTGCCCCCTCAGCCCCAAAGATGAATCACCCTTGTTGTCCAGTTTGCCAGTCTCCAAATGCAGTCTGGGCCATGATCTCACTGGCAAACGCTGCCATGGATTGACCTTCTACTCAAGGTAATGATTACCCCCTTGAGCATGCGGCAGCTGGCAAGGTAATGCATTGTTGGCACGTAAAAGTGATGCTGCAAAAAGCAGAAGGAGATCAGGAGACTCGTGTACCCTAGAGTTTGACCATCTGTGGCCTATTGGTCGTCATTAAGGTTTCTAATTTGGGACGACTGGGGAATAAACCAAACCAGGGCTGAAAATGTCATTACCTGACTCCTAGTGAGGTGTCCTCCCATATTTACATATTTATACACCTTAATTGTCTTTGCCTCACAGTGACATTGAAGCGGTGAAAACTGGACCAAATATCTATTCCAGGTATCACATTCGATGAAAAGCCAGAGCCATTAATGTGATATTATAACCCTGTACACACTGAGACGGACCATTGCGCTTCAAATAGAAAGGAGTTAACGTTGTAGAATATTATTGTGACTGTTGTTTTGAAGGCCCGGTCACGTTAACGATCTCTTAATTAGAGCTTTGTCCAGATGGTGGTGCCTGAAACTGCCACTCAAAGCTTTTTATTCGGGGTGTAACAATATATCGTGTCTCAGTATATCGCAATACAAAAATGCAACAATATGTATCGTGGATAGTGACAATATGTATCATGGGTAGTTCACCCAAAATGAAAATTACTATAAGAAAGGAATTCAAGTTTACAGAGTTTTAGTGTCAGTACTACATTAAACTATAATGCAAACTACCCCAATGAATGGGGGGATATATGTGGGTCCTGATAATGCCAAATGTCTTATGTTACCAGTAAAAAGTGGCCTACATTATTTTAAATATATCTAGTCAGTGACAGAGTGCAAGCATATCTAAAGTATCGTCTAAAATAATTCTCAGCTTCAAAAAAAAAAAATCAGCTTCAGAATCATGAATATTTTTATTCTGGTGTCACTATTGTCCTGTGCATTGGGTTATCAGCACCAATTCCAAGCCTATTCATTTACACCTCCAATGTACTGTAATACCAAATTCAGCATTTTAATCAACAGTACATTTTTTTGTTAACCTTTTACCATTTGTCTTGGAGTATCGCAAAAATATCAGTTCAGTATTATGATATGTATTGAATCGTGACATGAGGGTATCGTTACACCCCTACTTTTTATGTATTCTATTGACTTATCTTGTGGTTACTTTTAAAAGTAACATTTTACACACATCAAAAATACTTTACAACAATCAGCATATTAAACAGCTAAAAATGGGGGGGGGGGGGGGGGGATATTATTATTTTCAGTAAGAAGTTAAAGTTTGTTCATTGTTTTAGCATCAGGAAAAGTCATAATAGCAAGAAAACTGTTCTCTGTACTGTATTATAACAAATGCATGGAAAGATGGGGAACACAGCCCAGCATGCTCATAAATTCCTTATAAATAAAATATAGACTACCGTTCAAAAGTTTGGGATTGTCACAAACGGTTGCACAAACGTAAGGAAAATAATCTATTTGCAGCAGAGTCAATATATTTATTAAACAAAGCTCAAAATACTCAGAAACAGGAGCAGAACAACCGTAATATCACAATGAGAACTGACAAAGAACAGAAAGAAACACAAGGTTTATAGGGATAGTTTACCCAAAAATGAAAATTATGTCATCATTTACTCACCCTCAAGTTGTTCCAAACCTGTATGAATTTCTTTCTTCTGCTTAACACAAAAGAAAATATTGTGAAGAATGTCGGTATCCAAACAGTTGATGAGCCCCATTGACTTCCATAGTATTTCTTTTTCCATTCTATGGGAGTCAACGGGGCCCATCAACTGCAAAGTCTTGACTAGTGACACTGCAATTCTGAGCATTGGATTTCTCTGGGTTTGCCTGTGCCCCTTTGACCGTGTTTTGTGTTTGGATGGTTTGCCCGCTGTGTTTTGTGGACTATGGTTTCCAAAAAAATATTAAGCAGCACAACTGTCTTCAATATTGAGCACAAAATCAGCATATTGCAATCATTTCTGAAGGATCATGTGACACAGACTGGAGTAATGATGCTGAAAATTCAGCTTAGCCATCCCACAGCAATAAATAAACTGTTCCTGTGGAATAAATCTAATATATAAATGTTGATGTTGATAAGCACAGCCAAATATGCTGAAAATTATCTATGATCAAGAGGAAAATTAAAGGCAGACAGACATCTTACCCCGGGGCCTTAACCTATCTTTCTCTATCTTACTCTTAAAGGAACACTCCGACTTTTGGGGACATTAGCCTATTCACCGTATCCCCCAGAGTTAGATAAGTCCATACATACCTTTTTCATCTCCGTGCGTGCTATAAGTCTGTTTGACGCACCCACCGCTAGCCTAGCTTAGCACAAAGACGGGATGTAAATGGTTGCAGCTAGCATACTAATCCAAATAAATGACAAAATAACGCAATGATTTTCCTATTTACATGTTGTGATTTGTATAGTCACAGAGTGTACAAAAAACAAAGTCACATGAGACACAGACATATTTTAACCGTATAAATAACCGCCTTCAGAGAATATAGTTCCCAGTATTTATACGGTTAAAATATGTCTGTGTCTCATGTGACTTTGTTTTTTGTACACTCTGTGACTATACAAATCACAACATGTAAATAGGAAAATGTTTGCGTTATTTTGTCACTTATTTGGATTAGTCCCAAAGTCCCAAAAAGTCGGAGTGTTCCTTTAATATACTATAGCTTACTTCAACACTTTTGTTTTACTTTGCTGTATTTTCTTTAGACTGATAACTTGTGCAGTTGCACAAGAGTGGCAAGGTTTATAAAGCAAACAGAAATGCAATGCTTCCGGCACAAACAGAGACCTAGCTTATTTTTATCAAGCCCATGGCAGAGGAGACAAATGATATGCAGAAAATGTTCCAGTTGGAAGCAGGGAAAAGCTCACTCATTTGGGATGGATAAGAATAGTTGTCAACCAAACATAATGTCAGCAATGGTCAAAATTATCTAGACTGATATATACTAATATACTATTAATATACGCCATGAAGCATAACTGAGCCAAGCACCGAAATATCATTAATCTGACTGTAAAGGGGAAGAAAGGTTATAATGACCTTATTTTTCACAAGTGAGACTTAATATATCATAATTAAAAAGTATATGCCTTAATCTAAATGCATATATGACACAAAGTAAACTTATTTTTTATCATTGTGATTTTATATCTTAAAATCACTTTATATGTAACAATATGACCTTATGTCTCACAACCTCACAATGTTCAATGTTTTTATTTTTTATTGTTTGTATTGATGTGTCCTGTCAAACTTATCAGTTTCTACCTCACGTCCATTAAACACCACAAATCTACGCTTTTTTTAAGGAATTTATTTTTGTATTGTTTTACAATAGTTTTTTTTGGGGGGGGAGCAGTTACTGTGAAAGATAAATTATATTAATAATTTTTGGGAGAATTATTGGGAGAAACGAGGGTCCGTGGCTCTACCATTGGAAAAAGCGTAACGGCAAACTTGGATCATGTGTGCCTTGATAAACCAATCACATTACAGCATTGACGCCATTGAATTTTGTTTAGAGTTGTGCGACAGTCAATCACTGTTAGCAGATATCATAAAAAATGAATGAGAAATCAAACCTGTCACGCAATTGTCTTTGACTTCTCTCATAAAACAGCATTTGTTTTTCAGTGTAAACTCTAAAAATAGATCAATCCAAGTCGAATGTTTAAGAGCAAACATGTTGAAGATTAGCCGATGGGCTGTCGATTCATTGAATGATAAGCTATTTCTACACAAAAGCAGTTTATTCAGAGTATGAAGCCTCTACTCCATTGACATCCATTACGGCCTCTTGTCAACTACACGGTGTACCATAGCGTAAGCAGGCGTTACGCTTTTTTTTTCCGGCTAAGATCACAGGCTTCCCTTCAAGTGGCTTTGAATATTTCTTTCCTTTTTTTCCCAACTGCACTGACTTCAAACTGTTTCCACATCAGAATGAGATGTATGAGTTTTAGCATTTCCTTCAATACTCCCAAGATATCTGGCACTAACAGGGCACTAGGCTGACAAGAACTTACTTTTGGCTTTATTGTATGAAGAACAAGATACATCTCCCTTAAGAATCTGGAGACTTTGTCAGTATGAATTCAGTTTGCCAGGAGTCACAACTAATTTGTAGCAGACAAATTTGGCTAAAGCATTGGGAGAAAAGCATTTTCACTTTCATTAGCCACCCTGTCCCTCCAGGGCTCACAGAGCCCGGTCTACCCTCCCTCCCCTCAAACACTCTCTCTCTCTCTCTCCTTCCTTGTCACATCGCTGCCTGCTGCCGGCTCAGCCAATCAGAGTGAAATGGGTGGAGCCTCTGGTCTCAGTTGGACAGAGCTTGTTGAAAAGAAAGAGATGCTTTCCTGAAAGACTTGGAGTAGCTCTCCTCTGCGCGAAGCTCACCGTTTTGGGGCTTGGCAGTGAGTGATGACTACAGCACGAGCAGCTCAAGTCTAGCTTTAGCATTCTGGCACACACACACTGAAAAACACAGAGAGAGAGAGAGAGAGAGACAGTGGATGTCACAAATCAACCGTGGCAGGTACAGTTTTTCGCCTTGGAAGAAGCAGGATAATGCTAATGAGTTTAAAGAAGAGATCAGCTTCATATGGATTTATTTGTCTGATTGTAATCTGATGTGATCCTACTTGTTTTGGAAGATCACACATTGTTCAAGAAGATCTGAACTGCACCTATCCTGCTTGGACAAAAATCGATTTGCTGGGACTTTGCATTCTGAAAGAACTGATGTCAAAGTTTGTGCATCTTGTTTTTTATCTTTAATCGAGAAAAAGGAAAGAAAAACAACTAATGGCTATCAAACATTTTAATTGTACCCATTAAGAGCGCACTTAGGTAGCGCACTCACTTCGGAGCGTCAATACAATGCCTGGATTACCCTTTTGACTGCCTAGTGAACCCGTGTGAAATCACTGCGGAGGAGGTACGGCGGGGGGCCGAGCGGGTGGGAGCTGCATTCCTCCACTGGAATCCAACATCCTGACTGCCGATACAAGCCGATCGGATACAAACGCTATAGGGAAAGGAGTGAAACCACCCTTCACGGTCTGGGTGAGTACTCTGTCACAGTTCACTGGACACTCAATCTATATTGGTTTTAACCACTTCACTGAGCTCATCTTGTTGTGTTGGTATCAGCTCCTGACTTAAATGTTACAGCGTTTGTGGGGTCTTATATCTGTAGGGTATCTGTGCACACTCCTACATCTGATTAAGGAAAGCTGCAGTGTCAGTCAACTACGTCAGATTAACGTAAGCTGCAGGTAACTTAATTTTGGATCCCAAAAAAGGATACGGTTGGTTGCTCTAATTTAGATGTAAACAGTGGTTCTATTTGATTGACTTCATTTGGTTTTAATTATGTATTTCTAAATTCAGAGTATTTCGGAACACATTAAGTGTATAAGTGATAATGAGTTTATGTAATAAATATAGTAGTCATTTGCCTCCATCTCATTAAACTGGATTTGATTTCATCCCACAATGCTTTCTCAAACTAAATCTAGAGCTCGCCCCAAGAGTTTCAAGCTCCTTGCACAACGACAATAACCCAGAGGGGCGCTCTCAAAACAAGCAAGAAGTCCTTAACTCCATTTACAAACTTTCTCCTCACTCCGAAGCTTTTGAACATAATACAGAAAAAACACGAACAGCAGTGGAGAGCTAAAACAAAACAGCCCCACAGCTACAGTGACTCACGGGATGGCTTCCTCACAGTTTGGCTTGGACGTGTGCCTGGACACCACAAGAAACCCGGAGAAGGACTGCATTCCTTGATTTCTTAGACATGTGGTTCCTGTTTTTTGCACTAGTCTGGGGGGTAAAAGACGGACTGCATTGTCTTACATATGTACATTAATCCTCTTTTCTCACTCTGACAGTGGCAGCCCAGATACACGCTGACATTTCCACTGTCGAAGGAGAATATTTAATGCCCCTTTCTGTCAAAATATAAAGCAGCTTGCTTTTTAATCTGTTGCAGAAATATTTAAGCTGTCCGTGGATTCTCTGTATCTCTCTCTCTCTCTTCCCCTCAATCTTTCTCTCTCCCTCGCTTTCTCACCGTCTTAACAGTAGGTTTCAATACATTTCATTTTGGAAAAGCCGATTCATGGTGTGATTGTGTCGTGTCTACACAACAAACCCACCAGGTCATCTTTCTGTGGGAAGAATAGCATTTTAATCCACATTATTCAGCAGTGCCAGCAATCGTGACTTTGTATTTTGCGCTTACACCTACCCGATAGTCAATCATTGACCATTTCGTCATAGCAAGCAATCAGAAAACAATGGGCCACCTTCATTTAACAGAAAATAAACTCTTTGGAGACAAACATATAGGCTGACAGCGCTTATGCAGCACTTTTGATTCTTAACTTTACCTACAGAGGGAGCAGTTCTCTTAGCAAGCAACCTACAACCTCAGACGAACAGAATCGTATTCAGAACGGCCAAAACCATTGCAAAAAGAAGAGATGACCACTCGATTATCAGTTTACAATATTGATTTGTTATTTGAGAGGTCAATCCATTCTATCTAACATCCAAACATGATCAATTTCCACTGATACTGTCAAGGGAGATTTAATCCATGTAAGGTGAGCAGAAGATGCTGAATATTTCTGCATCTGTGACGTGCAGGCCCAAGTTATTGGGATGCAAGTCCATGACGTTTCCCCAGTGAACATCCTCTCCTGCTTACTAAGAAGCCCTCGGAGGTTTTTGAAGTGTTAAAGTGAAAGAACAACACAAAACTCCATTTCCAGTCCCGGAGGGGACGCTGATATGTGTGTGCATGTGGAGTGTCATTTGCTCTGTGAAGTTATAAAAGAAATATTGATCTGCCCAAGCAATATTCACCGTCTCAGAGGATAATGTAAAGTGGATTCAAAATATACTGTGTATGTTCACTGAAATGGAAATATAAAAATATAACAGTAGTCTGAGGCTCTCACTAAGATAAGACACTTCACAGAGTGCGAGATGAAATGTATATTGTAAAGAAAGGTACATTTTATATATTCATATGAAGAACATTTTATTATATAAGGTTTACGGCAGACTGAAATGAAATCGGCAAATAAAATTTCATAGTTTAGCTGTAAAGCAACTTGATATTTTTCAGTATGTGCCAGCTTTATAATACACTCCCTGTGCTTTTAACAAATACATTTTTTGTAAATAAAACTAATTTTATCCAACTGCTGTATTAGAGAAATCTAAAGGCCTTAGGTTGACTGCACACATATACACGCACACACACACACACACACAAGTGATGGGCAAATAGAGAACACTAAAGATTTATGTGAGCTGTACTGCAATTAGCAGATAATCTTTGGGAAATATTCTGGCTTTAAAAAATGTAAAATTCATACAAGTGCATAATGAAAATCAATTCTGATGTTTGGTTATCTTGCTCATCACTTCTGTTGCCATCAACTCAGCGTAATTTGCTTGGCTCATTAGCATGCATAATTACTTGCAAAATTGGAAATAACCAAGAAACACCCTAATAACTTTTATAGCCTGAGCTTCTTTGAACCAACTTGTGTGTGTCGTAGTGATTGCGAATGTCATTCAAAGTTCAGAATGCAGAACTGCGGGGTGGATGACATCGAGCTCATTTTCATGCAAAACTCAAATGAATCAATTGTAATGGGGGAAAAAAAAAGAATGATATGAAAATAAAAATCTATCATAATGCCTAAAAGCAAGATGAGCGGATATGAGAAAACCATAAAAATGCATGAATAATTAAATATAAAAATATGATGTATTCATAAAAAGATGAGACAGACAGACATATACGTAGATAGTGTTGTCTATAACTTTTATACTCCGTTTAGCATAACTAAAAGTTGGCTTCAGTAAAGTCTCATTAGTGTCCAGGATGAGTAAATTAAGTCTTTCATGTTGGTTATCATATGGTGTATTAAGTCACTCATTAGATAAGCTTCAGTAGTTTTCAAATCTAATTTCCAAGACGATCCCAGGTCTACTCCTTTAATGGAAGGGACATTTAATTTAAATGAATTGGGTAATTCCCCTGCCCAGACCAAACTAAAGGCACTATGATAAAAGAGCATACAGATAAGAAGCTGGGCTGCTTTGATATATGGATATGGAATATGGATTCTGATTTGCCTCCTTTAGATGAGTAACTCACAGTTATGTTAGAAACTTGAAATTCACAGTTGTGGTAGTAGTTTTTTTTTTTTTTGGACAGATGTGGGCTGATTCTTATCTTGACATTATTTGTAACGTAATTTTAATTAGTTTATTTATTATTATTAATAATACATTACAAACAAAAACAACAAGTCATATAGTTCCAGCAACAACATTAATTGTGTGCACTTAAAAAAAGGACTTTATCTAAATTGTCATAACGGGTTTGCTTTACCAAAAATGTGAACATTGCAGTTCTTATTAGATTTCATCCTGTTTGGATCTGTAGCGATTCACTACCTGTTAAGACATCCAAAGCATATCCGGTTATGTGGTATGCACAGCCACATTCCAAAGTTAATGGTGAATTTCACCATGACATGAGGCATCAAAATGGGAATACTCCCCGCCAGCTGGTCAAGGGGCCAAGGGGAAAATGATTTATTTGACAAAGATTTAAAGATCAAAGGCAATGACTAACCAGGAAGCACCAATCTCCTACTGCAGCTGATCACAGAAGGAGTCTCCACCAATCAGCCCTAGCAGCAGGACCACTTCTCTAAGTTTTAATTGGTTGCTGTGTACCGGCCGGCCTTCACAGACATCAAGCTGGACGACATTACATGTGGCGACAGGGTCAGCTATCGCGCTGCCTTTGCTGTTCACCCTGCAAAGAAACTCTGTGGTAGAGAGTAATGTGAAAACTGTCATGACTATTCATAACCTAATTTTTCAACACGGAAGTAAGCAAATTTCCTGTGAATGTACAAGACTTCAGATTAATTGCTTTAGGTAAATAACTAAGAATAACAAAGAGATGTAAACACTAAAACTATTTGCGCAACACAACGGTGTGTTTATGATTATGATCAAATAATATGATAACGAACGATTTACAAAATCAAGCAGCATAACATTCAGTTTTTGTACAAGTAAAAAGTATACAGTTTTTGTACCACTTCGGCTGACACCAGAAGCCTTACACCTATTACAATAAATAATGGCCTCGCCGGCTCGTGCATTAAAAATAAGGTGGAAAAAAAAGGCTGGACACCCTTTTGCTGTTGTGTGACTCAGCAAATTTGACCCATATGAAGCATAAATTCACTTCAACAAAACAAATCAAAAAAAAAAAAAACACACAAAAAAAGAAATTATTACTCATCATAATGCCCTAAAAGAAAGGTGAGAGGACCATTCTACATTGGACCATACAAAAATAAGTAATTACACACACACATACACACAAAAAAAACAATCAACAAGAGGAGTCTTAGCTACTGTGTTGCGTCTGGTATTTGAAACAGAACAATTATACTGCATTTGCTATAATTTGCTTTTCTTAAAACTAACTGGATATAAAACATGAAGGGTACTGCTGGAAATTGGCACTGCTTCCTACTCCGATACAAACCAAGGAGGTTATGATAGTCACTGAGATTATGTGATTTGACTCTTAAATTATTGTTGTGTCGCGGCCAAAAAACATGTCAGACTTCACGTTGCTTCTCGACCAATCATCGCTTTACGTCTTTAAAGACTTGCATGATGTCATCTAAAAAGTGGTACTAGCGACTGACTTACGGAAACAAGAGTGTAAACGAACAATGGTTGTACTAGCCTAATGCTAATTCCAGTACTCTCCGGCTTGCTGAAGCGCCGTCACTATAGTTTGCCAGCAGCATTTATCTTTTTTCACTCTACCGTGGTGTCATAAAGGCAGGAATTTTGTGGCTATAGCTCCACGAACCTTTCCTCCATTGCATAATTCCACCTAGCAGCACCAATACCATCGTCTCTCTGTCGTTTCGTCATGTTTAAAAGCTGTGTTAGAAAGAGCTTCTGTGCTCATGACACGATGTCGGTTTTCGTCCACTGTG